TGAAAACTGCAGATTCTAAATAAAACATAACACACATTTTCTTCAAAGCAACGTGAGTTGGCAAGAAAGTAAAGCCATGCCAAATTCTAAGAGAAAACAGGAAGCTAGAGAGGCAAGCCAGGTAGGTTAGTACTGACAGTGTCTTTGCTCTGAAGAGACCTGCCAACCAGGACAAACTGGGACTTTAGTTTTCATGGCCTCATGGGATGATGAAGAGAGAACTCAGGGTCCAGGGCCCTCCCAGATGAGAAAACCCTCTACACCCAACCCTCCCAAAAGGCAACACCCTTAGGGTAAAGGTAAATCTGAATAAATCCACTCCATGTCATGCGTGTGCATGTGTGTGCGTGCTCAAAATCCCCAGAGGAGACTTGAGGAGAAGGGATTGTGGCCTGGCCATCCCTCCTGGGGGGTGATCTCGCTTTCTGTCTCTGTCTCTCTCTCTGGAGAGAGCACACACCCTATAGGAAATCTCTTAAAAAGAAAAAAAGAAACTCAAATTGGGCATGTTTGCATGTGTGTCCAAAATCCTGAGAGGAGAGTGGAGAAGGGACTGCAGTGTGGACATCCCCCAGGGGGTTGATTACTTGCTTTCTGTCTCTCTGTCTCTCCAATGAACATATGCACCCTATAGCAAAAATCTCTCTCTCAAAAAAGTACAAGTATAAAATAGAAAACTGAAAAAAAAATGACCTAATAGATTTGAAAATAGAACCTGTAGAAATGATAAAAGCGACGACTGAAATGAAAAATTCAATGTATGCATTTAAGAGAGCATAAGAAACAGCTGAAGAGAAAGTTACAGACTAGAAGATAGGCCAGAAAATACATAGAACACAGGAGAAAAAATGGAAAACATAGAGGAGGGGTTAAAAGATATGGAGGACATGGGACCAGCAGTTGGCGTAATGGCTATGTCGCTGTACTCCCATGTAGTCGACCGTGGTTCAAGTCCCAGACCCAGTGGCTTAAACTCACGCCAGGCACGTGTGTGTGCGTGACCAAGATCCCGAGAGGAGAATGAAGGAGAAGGGACTGCTGAGTGGCCATCCCTCCTGGGGGGGGATTTCTTGCTTTCTGTCTCTCTCTCTCTCTCTGTCTCTCTGGTGAACACATGCACCCTATAGCAAAAACCTCTCCAAAACAAACAAACAAACAAAAAAGCAATAAAAAGAACAGTTAGAAGGCCAGTTGGTGATGTAGTAGACAGGGTGCCTAGATCCCATGTGACTGACTGTGAGGTTTGAGTCCCAGACCTGACAGCTTAAGAAAAACACCAGGCATGTGTGCATGCATGCCTAAAATCAAGAGAGGAGAGTGGAAAAGGGATTGCGATGTGGCCACCCTCCTCCCCCCAGGGGGTGCTTTCTCATTTTCCTTTCTCTGTCTCTCTCCAGAAAGTGCTGTGCGCCCTGTGGCAATTATTTTTAAATAATAAATAAATAATAGATATA